AAGACACGTCGGTCTTATCAACAGTCTAAATTCCCAAGTAGGAACCAGTGTTCTGTATCTCACAAAATGTTTGCGACCTCAGATATGCATGTGAGATCACGATAGTGTAATCCCTTACCACTACCGACAATGCCCACAGAAAGTACATAAATGTAGTGTGCCTTCATGATAACCTTAGCGAAGTCCATTACAAGAGTGGACTACTTGGAAGATCGGCTCTTTCTAACCTCGTAAATATCGGGTTCAATAAGACTTAGCCCTCTCGGAACCGGCACTCATTTCGAATGGTGAAGTCTCACTTCAGAGTTATTAGATTATGATAACACCGCCCTGGGCTATGTGGAACGATGGGAAGTCCGGATTGATTTAGTCGTGCAATTACATACGATTGCGGCTTTGTAAGCATAGTTAGTGCGTAGGTGCTCAAGTGACCCAGTTACAGGTATTACTTCCGTGCGTCTTGCGACAGGGACACTAGCGAGAGTGTAGAGATTTTTTGTCAACCCTTCTTGGAATTTGAGCCTTTGACAGCGAGGAACGCTATCTGACTTGGAATGTAGATAGTGCTGGTTGCAACAAGCGGGGATTGGAAGGCAAAAGTGGTTGTGTTCCGCGGATATGAAATAGAGCAGAAAATTGCGTTTTCATTTTGCGATCCCATAAGATATACTAAGAGGGATGGCCAATGACAACTGTAACTCTTTTGTGCCTGAGCCGGTCAATTTGCGGTGTAATTAAATGTTGCGCGAAGAAATGCCAGGCCTTTCAGTCATTGATTATGGTTCATTCTTGTCAATAATATTCGGTGATGCTGTTTTCACACCACTGTGTGATGCGCCTACCATATAGAACACTGAAGCTTCGCAACTCTGTGGCGAGAAAGATTATTTGTCTGAGGACAAATAATCTTTTTTTGTCCTCAGACAAATAATCTTTCTCGCCACAGAGTTGCGAAGCTTCAGTGTTCTTGGCTTTTTAGCTTCGGACTTTTTCTCGAGAAGTAATTGCAAAGAATTGCAGGATAGTGAAGTGGCCGAGATGGTACGGTTGGTACTGGAGGGGGTAAAGAGCTCATCCGGCATGTGAGAGTCTGCTGTTAAGAACATTTAAGGAGTACCGAGTATTAGGACTGGGACAGCTAACAACAGGAATCCTACGGATTGATTTTCTGAAGGATTGACAGAACGTGGATACATGGAACTCACCACGCGTGTCTCGAGGCGAGATGTACGTCAGAAAATTGACCTGGTTCCTGGAAAAACACAGCATCAAACATTAATGGCTGTTGGCATGACAGCAATATGCCATCATAGTCAAAATTTGTATGTGCGAAGCACGAAGCGCTTTGATGAGAAAAGCTGAATTTCTGGACTCGACTCTGGTTCTTTGTGTCAGAAATCTAACAGCATATGGCGAGTTATGCGTGCGTATGATAAGCGGGTTGCAGCCAAGATTCCGGCCCAAACGCTGATTTCTTGGTAATCATATTCTGCAGCACACAATGAAGTCCAGTGCACTTGACCTGGTTGACATATATTTCTAACTGCTCGTGAAAGATAGCAATATCTACTCGCAGTGGTGAGTACCCCGACCGTGGTGTGCTCTGGGATCTGCTTGTAATCTCACAGGGACTGCATACTACACTCAAGATGCTCATTCGTCTGACGACGCAGTTGTCAGGTCACATCGTGAACGTATTTCGACACCATTGTTGAATTGAGGACTCGCGGTAAATAGTTCTGTGCAGTGCCTCGATATATGCGCGATAATGAGCTCTTTGCCAATTAGGATAGGCGTGTCATGGCGTCAGCGATATTCCCAATAGGTGTTGCTTGGTAGGGTGGCAGGAAACTCTACAGCGACCATCGTAGTAAACAAGCTTAATGACCCTGGTAGCATTGAGAAAGCGGACGAACCTGGATAGATATGCATATGCATACAGCACAGTACAGATTATGCCGGCATGCCACGATTCCTCATCAACATTCCTTAAGGTAAGGTCAAACAATACTGAGTAGGTGACCGTGAAGGCTGCAAAGAAAACTTTCATAAACTCCCTAGTTTTGGGTCTTCTTAAAGCAAAGCAGACGATTAACGTCGTCCGTCACTTTCAGTAGTTGCAAATTTTATTGTTTACTTCAAGCATATGTCGATGGTCATTAACGTGATGAATCACGTTTGAGCCTCGCCCGCTAAAAGTAATTGAGAGTAGCTACCCTCTTAATGATAAAAAGTAACTTGAAATACGGTGGAACATTGTCAGCTTCTGGGTGGCTCCAACGTATTTGTGATCGATATAGATCAAGCATCGTTGCCCAGATTGACGTTGTCGCCACGAACCTCGCGGAGAACGAAGGAGTGATATCTTCTGTGCCGAGTATAACTTTGATGTAAGATATAATCTGATTCAGTTTGATGTGGCAGCGGTGTGCTTTTGCCTTGCCCCGACTATAAATTGTCGCATGCCGCGATGGTGATGTCACCAATTGGTGAGTCTTTACGTGCGGCGCACAGGTCATACGCTTCATGTATTGCGATGCTGAAAGCTTAAAGGAGAGGATCTTTGGACTAAGCCATCGTTCCATCGAAGCAAGCGTTTATCTCTCTGTGTCGTATTACTCTTCCAAATGTTTGCTGCATCACAGCACTGGACCAAACGTCACTAAAGGTGTAATGATGCCTCATGATGTGGACCGCAGGTCAACCATTTTACACAGGGCACAGAATACCACTCTGTGTGCCCCTTTCGAAAGAGAGGAAACATATTATTTGGTGAGCCTACATATCAACAGTCCAACATGTATAGGTGCGTGAGAGTATGAGCGAGAAAGAAACATTTCAACGGGTTCAAATCTTGCAGAATGCGTTGGAATTTTATACTAGCCTGTCGGTTCCAGGAAAGATTGGGCATCCATCCGTACAAACTATTTTTTTGACTATCTTGAGGCGAGTCAGACAATACTGGCACTGGGAGCTTTGTGGACCTTCTGCGCAAGATGGATAATCTCGTATTTAGCGTCACTTCAATGGATGAGGAGAAGCCAAGCTGACTCTAACGTTTTGTCAATATGGATTGCTGGAAGCCCGCGCTTTACAGCAACGTCTTCGCGATATTTTGTTCAAGGTGCAAGACTTCATATTTATCCAGTCAGCCAATGATCACCCGCATCCAAGTGGCCAGACGTGCACATTAATTGCGGTGTAGGATATCTTAAGGAACTTGTGTAGATTGACGGTGATGCTGGGGTAATTGCTCTCACCCTTTACGTTTGCGTTAAAATACGCAGTAAACGTCTTTACAAAATACACTTTTTTCCTTAAAATAGTTCAATTTCTCCCCATATATCTCTGACACCGCGCTGAAGTGAGGCTGATCGCGGTGGAAGTAGGTTGTCGATATAGATCACCTTGCTGATATCATCAATCCATATCGACCTAGCAGCAAAATCAAGGATTTTTTTGCAAAATTAAACATACCAGAGGCAAGCAAATCACGCACTGATCTACACTGAATGCAGAAGTCCTATTCCATGCTTTCAGCTTACATGCAGTGTCTGCACTTTGTAACGATAAAATGCTGCCTCGCTGCTTACGGTTGCAAAAAGTGACTGAGCGATACTTATAAAATTTTGAATGGATTGCAAGTTTTCAAATGGAATGCTCGAATATCCTGCATTCCACTTGGTTTAAAAAAAGCCATACAATGACCCCTAAGCACATCTACCTTATGCTCTAGTGCGACAATATACTTCTGAGCCGCTTGAGGTATGGCTAACCTTAGTGAGCGCATTTGAAATTGAAGTGTGCCAGCTTCGAGTGCGTGTTGAAAAATTGAAGAGCGTCGATGTGCCACAGTAATCGAGATAGATCACAAGAGCCAGCTGCGAAATAGTCATCCTTCACCGGCCTCGCTTGATCCAACAACGCATGGAGTTTGAGATCCATTGCAAGGGCTTCATTATTCATTATGCTTCGGCCCATCTTCTGTCTTTGACTTACCTTTTAAGGAGAAGGGTCGCGCAGCGTAAACACGCCGCTCACAAGCGAGTGAAGCCTTCCTTCCTTCCAATATCGAGACTTGGCCAGTATATGTACTAGCACGCTGATAACGTTTTATGAAATTGCTGACAGCAAGAGATTGGAGTGGGAAGCATTCATCTTAACTTTCACACCATTTTGTGTGCTGTAGTGTCAAGCATGAATATTTCAAAAAAGGAAATCCCACTCCAATGGCTGCTCTCTTAAATCTAAATTGTCAGGCCATTAGATGGGTGAGGCAACGTGCTTTTTGTGCGTGAATTGAGCAACGACACTTTAAATCAACGGTACGGTAGCCATGACAATATAAATACACTCGGATGCTGTTGCTCTAGCGTAGGCGATATCTGCCAGGAGTAGAGACCTGAGGGGTCGAAATGCTCCTCGCTACCGGCTTTATTTCTACCCGGATAGGCGTGCATCTGACGAACAAATACATGATCACGATGTAATCAAGCCGATAGATACAGAAGGACTTGGCTTGCTAAACCAAGCTCACATAATAATATTCTGGACGTCATCGTGCACATAATTTTGATCACATCTTGTAATGTGAATGTCAAGTATCAATTTTCCTACTCTACATGAGAAGTTGAGGTAAAAGTTGAGCTACGTTTAAAAGTACACAAGAAGTAAAAGTGGGGCCTAACTACGAATCACTATTTTTATATTGCTTCAAGTGCGGCGGTGGAGACGACAACAAGCGCAAGCATGACGGATTTTATTGCCATGATACTTACAATTAATTCTATGACGTTTGACAGGTTCATTTTATTTTTTAATTATGTATTCGTCATCGGATATAGTTAGATGATCACTAAACGTATTTAATCGTTCAAGTTTTTGATATATGAACTGGCTCGTGCACATCATGAGAAAATGATTTGGGATGAAATACGGAAGGGAGGGTGAACTTGAAAAAAAACTCATATACCTTTTGTCCACGCAAAGATATAACGAACATGCCATCACTCATCAGTCTGTACCTGTTCACCGCGACGCTCGCAACTTCCAAAGCAGAATCGTTGAGATCAACTCAAAACTTAAATGAGAAGATGATACCAATTGACGTTACCTCTCGAAACCATGCCAAGTTTTCGCGTAGTGATCCTGTCTTACGTTCAGAAGATGAAGCAAGGATGATGGATATAGATCGAGCACAAGATGTCATCTTGACGCCATTAAAGGAGGTTCTTGGTAGTACTTTTCGTACTACTACCAACGGTGGACATGCTTCAAATATCAATGCTATTGTTAATAAGGTCGAGGATCAAACCAAGGCTGGTGCCAAGGACAAGCTTGCTGCTGCTAATGCTCATACTGCTGCTAACGCTCATGATACTGCTTATGAGCCCGATCCTGCTTACAAAAAGGCTCTTGCTGATGTATTTGCGTTCGTTGAGCCTTTAAAAGCTACTGGTTCTGCTTACGGTGCGCAGAAATTAGCTCATTCTCAAGCTGCTGTCCATGCTTCTGCCCATTCTCAAGCTGCTGTTCATGCTCCTGCTTACGTTCAAGCTGCTTTTCATGCTCCTGCTGTTGCTCAGACTGCTATTCATGCTCCTGCTGACGCTCAGGCTGCTGTTCATGCTCCTGCTGACGCTCAGACTGCTGTTCATGCTCCTGCTCCTTTTGATGTCATAGATATTCTTTCCGACGATGAGTCTGCTGCTCGTGTTTTTTCTGACGATGAGTCTGCTGTTCATACTCTTTCTGACGCTGAGTCTGCTTTACACGCTCCTGTTTACACTGAGACTGCTGTACAAGATCCTCCTTTAGCCCAGGCTGCTGCAAACGCTCATGGTGCTGCTTACGCTCAGAATCTTCCTCATCCTCAGGATGCTGCTGACGCTTATGCTGCTGCTAACGCTGAGGCTGCTGCGTCAACGACGGTTGCTAATGCGATGGTCAAGGATGCTGCGTCAACGACGGTTTTTGAGGCTGCTTCGTTTCCAATTGTTCGTTATCCAGACAATTATGTTATTCCAACCGTGAAGGCTCCTGATGAGTTGTCAGAACGTTTCACTTACGATTGTAAAATGACCCAAAGAGCCCTTACCTCAAAACTAAGTAAGTGGCCACCGGAAAAGGCAGCAAGATTCCAGAAGAATTGTCCTCCTTTTGAGAACTTTCTACTTAAAAGTGAATCCGATTCTTTTTACAAAGAATCACTTATCCAGCTTTTACAATGGCTTGAGAGTCGTCCAGGCACCAAACAGGTTTTTGCGATGTATTTTCCTGAGGTGTACGGACTGGCTTATACCCAAGGATTTCAGATTGAGAGGCTACCAATCATTCAGGAATTTCTTAACGATCAAAAAAAGTTGGCACCCGCTATCAAGGAATTCTTGGCGGCCGAACTTCCTGCAGCGATGGATATAGTCGCTGCTCATAACAACGACATATTAAGTTTATCGAGCAATTTCAGATCAACTTTATCTCTAAATGCCGATGTCAAAGAGGTGGTATATTCAATGTTACGGCATCACAAAGCCCCGTGGGAAGTGTTTTTGGAATTGGGACGCAGTTATGACAAGACAAAGACATCGAGTGTACAAGCTTATCACTTGTTCACTCAATTTCATGTGGCTTGTCACTTCATAATGTGGCTCGAAAATAAATGGAACAAAGTGATCATTGATGTTGATAAATCAATATGAAATGACAATGATCGACATGACATAAGGGTGAGCAATCTGAAGGTTTCGACGTCGATTAGCATTGTGGCATTCCTAGTGTCGGTTCTTACGTATTTCGAAAAACACTGTGCTATTGACGCGCTGCAATTTTCACGCGTAAAGACCAAGTACTCTTTCACCAGCAGAAGTGCACTTGGCGCATTCCAAAAAACCACCAAGCTAGCTCACTTGAATTGCATTCTTTAAAGTAGTTGATGATAAAGAAAAGATTAACTTGTGAAATGTCAAATATTTTATTGTCAAAATACGTAGCATCCTATAAAATTAATTACGTAATGTAATTCTGTAAGATTGATCAAGCCAAATATTCAATGGAAACTGTTGCAATAACACACATATATACCCCTCAACTTACTATTGAGTTATCACACATTGGATAACATCTGTGGATTACATCATTTGCTACAGATTTGCTTGTTTAATAAGCTTCTTAAATTTAGAAAATAGCAAATTGCTGCAGAAATTTGCAAAGGAACTTGTCTATATCATTGAGTATTCGTCACGCTGCATTGGTATCAGTACAAGCATCCGTGCAGAATCAATGACGACTGGAGCAAATTTCGACTCTACAACAACGATGAGAATATTCAATCGAAAAACAACATATTTGGCCAAGTAAACTTCAAGTCGCATTGTTCAGTGAATCTAATTTCTTATATTTCAAATCTGAAATCACAAACCTGTTTTTACTCGACACCAAAATTTTAATGTACCGAACTTTTTTCATCCTCGCAATTTCTTAGGAAAAATAAGACACTGAACTTATTCTTGTGTAAATTACATGAATACTCACTCATTTTGTTTCAAAAGCCTAATGCGCTGTACAGACGTACGATTGGATTCACTTGAGCCTCGTCTTTCAGGGTTTTACCTAAAGCTCCTACTCTTCACTGGTGTGAGCTGGGCAATTCAAGCAGCTGAACTTGTCCTGCTTTTCTTCACGCGAGTGCTTGTTACGCAGGACATTAAAATAGGCACTCCAGTCCTTGAAATGTTTGAAGTTAGCATTTTGGTTGGATCAGCATTTGGAGGCCTCATCTTTGGTCAAATCGCAGACAAATTAGGTCGTCGAGTTGCTCTTATTACATCAATGGTTTTCTCTTCAGCTGGATTTGCCATCTTGGCTTACGCGAATGTTAGTGATATTCTATTACTTGGTCGTGTGATAATTGGTCTTGGATTTGGCGGACAACTCGTTTCAACGTTTCTTCTTGTCTTTGAATTGACTCCTTCCTCCATGACTAGTCGTATGATAGCATTCATCAATGCATTTACAGGTCTAGGTGGATTACTTGGTTTGGCTTTAGCGTATGTAGTAGCGCCAAAACTTCAATGGCGTTCAACATATTTCGGAACGTCGGGACTCGTGCTTTATACATTTGTTCTACATTTTATGGTGCCAGAATCACCTCGATGGTTGGCAAGTGTAGGTCGGACAGATGAAGCTTGTGCTATTGTGGAGAAAATGGAGCAATCTTGTGGTCACATGTTGATAAAAATGAAGGTCAAGTGGAAGCGCTTCAATCAACGTCTGTTCAGGATTTCCCAGCTTTAGAAACAAAGCTATCGCGAATTCAGGAACTACAACGACTGAATTCAACTTTAATTTTGGGGATTATGTGGATCACCATGACCGTCTCCACCTACATACTTGGTATTTACATTCCAACACTCATCAGCTTAAACGGCTACAATATGTTTGCAAGCTGGACCACAACAAGTTTATTGGAAATTGCTCAAGTGGTTGGCTCTATTACAGGAGCAACAGTATTGGACACATATGGACCTTCCCGCTGTTTTGTAATCTTTGCAATCTTAGCAGCTACTTTATCAATTTGGCTGAGCTACATGCCTTGGTCATGTATTGTCGTCATTTTCTTTTCTTTTTTTGTTACGGCTTTTCTCTCAGTTTGCTGGAGTTGTGTTCTTTTGTACACACCTTTACATATGAAGGTTATGTACCGCGGCCGTGGAATGGGATACGCTATTGGAGTCAGTCGTTTGGCTGCAGTAGGAGGACAATTTATATATCCATACATGTTTAACACGTGGATGTTATCTGTGTCTATGATATGCTGGATTTTCGGTGGACTTTTAATCGTCGTTGCAGTTTTAATTCATATCGTATCTCACATCAATTATCACCCATTAAGTCAAGAAGACGACGCTATCTCGTTGACAGAAAGAGAAGAGATCTGGAGAACGAATTGATGGGAAATTATGGAGATCAATTATTGTATTATGAACAATCAAGAAAATTAAACCTGTGATCATATTGTCTAAATCCTTTATTTTTCTACTGCAATACTTGTACATCATCCTCTGTATGCTTATTTCCAATATTGTCATTGATTTTGATGGTTGGTTTTCGGACGTTGAAAATGTATATAAGGATTTGCCGTGACGCAGAATGCTCCTGAGATTTAGTACTTCTTAGATATTTAAAATAAAAGGGTAAATTGCAAAAGGTTTCTAGCAAACGGTACAGGGTACCTGTTAGGTATGCCTTAGTGCTTGGAGGTACGGGTTACATGGAACTGCTGGCACTTTCATAGCTGATATCTGACATCTGGTCGCTAAGTTCGGATCAAATTTGAAGTTGGGCACAATAGTCTATACCAATTCAACTACTATACCAAGATAACGAATAAGTTAATATATTAATAGCTAATATTTTGTTACTCTTATAAACTTTTCAAGGTTATAGTATAATACAACTAAAATATGCGTAGCAACAGCTGATCAGCATCTGGTCACCCACCATATCAGCATTTAAAGCCTTCTACTAACAACGACGTTCGAGTTTCAAATGATTTCTCTATCAGCTTTCGTGACCATTTACGTCGCTTTGACGTCGATCTCGATTCGTGCACAATCATTACCTTCTAACATGACCACAAATCTTACTGTTGTCCCAGTTACGGAATTCAAGGCTGGTAAGAATTACATCGCTGGTATTCGCTCTACAAGAGGCGGTAAAAACTTTTGTCTGGGTGCTCTCATCAGTCCTTCTCACGTTTTAACTACAACAACATGTATTACACACAATATTCGTTGGGTCTCACTTGGTTCGAATACAACTTCTGGTACAAGTAGTGGAGAACAGATCAAGGTCGTCGCCATGTTGGTTCATCCTCAAAATAACGATTTTCGTAATGACTTTCTCATACTCGAGCTTGCTTTAGCAACAGATTTCAAGCCAGTGATGTTAGATCCACCCAAATCAATTGTAAAATCAGGAATGAAAGGTGGTCGACTTGGTTGGAATGACACTACCGCAGCAGCTGTCGAGTCTCGTTATATGCAAAGTGTCGAAGTGACTTTCGTAAGCAATAAAAAATGTTCAAAAGATCTTTCGATTCATAAATCAAATTTCTGCTCTCGTGGATATCCAGGTGTGAAATCTTGTATGGGTGATAAAGGTGGTGCTATCATTGTGAATGTGGAGAATCTTGACATTCTTGTTGGATTAGTTAGTAGTAATGAACATTGTGGTCAAATTGGTGGTATGAACGTCTACTCTCGAGTATCTGCTGTGCGTCCATGGATCGATTCAATCATTAGCAACATTTGCGTTGATTAGAAACTCAATAGATGCAGAAATAGCAATACTAGTAGTAACGATAGAACTACTATTTTACAATATGATGTACCTTCACAAAGAAAAAAATCTAATACCTACTTAATTTGTCATTTCTAATCTTTTTTAACATCTCACTCATGGAATCTGGAGACGAGAAACCTGTGAGCATGATCCCAAATATTCTACTAGATGGAGATCGTCTCAACATGTTGTTAGATATCATTTGTGCTGATTATATTACAGCATGCTATGCTAGTCGAGAAAATGGGAAACGTGTGGTCTTTAAGGCTTTAGAAAAACTTTATATCTCGGTACATGTCGGCGCACCTGGTACCAGCGTTGAGACTCGTCGACTACGACCATCACAAGACCAAAAATTTCAAGAACGAGCTCAAATATTTTACGACGATCTTATGGCTGAGTTTCATAGTCGAAATCAAAGTATTGAAAGTTCCATAAACAATCATGTGGTTTCGTCGGTTAGAGGTCTTGAGGATAGTGTCGTTCGAGAAATTATGAAACCACGATTACTACAAATAGTTGATGAAGTATGTCGTGAACGTGAGTGTCATTTGATTTTAACTGGAACTTCAGCATTTTCGACATCTTCGACTTGTCGAGCGACTACTACGCATCTTGAGACTGGAAATGAACAACAAGATATTATGTTATTACCTACAACGGGTGAAATACGAATGGAAGGATGGCTACGTAAAAAGGGACAACATGTGAATTTATGGCGAGAACGATATTTTATGATCCGTTCAACACCTGATGGTACACATTTTTTATGTTACTTGAGAAAGAAAGGAGATAAAGAGCCACGTGGATGGTACGTTCTTGGACCAGGTACAACAGTTGATGAAGTAAGAGAGTCACCTAGTAAAATTGAGACTAAAAAGCTTTTTACGTTTCGAATACGACACTTGAGTCATACACCAAATGATGAAGTTGATGAGAGTGCAAATGGAGCAGAAATGACACCGAAAACGACACCATCACGATTAATAACCGAGTTACCATACTCTCCGCTCGATTCAGCTGCTGTTTTACATGATATGGATCCTGACTTGAAAGTGAACGTCAAGCGCGTGTCGTCTCGTAAATTTCGAAACCGAGCAGCTGCTGCTGCTGCTGCTGCAACTGCAGCAACTGCTGTAGTATTAACTGGTGGTCTTGCTGGTGTTGGAATTGGTGTCATGGGTATGAGTATGAGTGCAGCAGCTGCTGCTAGTGCTGGTGCTGCAGGTGCTATGATAGCTCAAAGTCGCAGTAAAGGTCCTATTGCATTAGCTGCTGAGTCATTGGAGACGGCCATTTGGTGGCGCAATAGCATTTTAGAATGTATAGCTCAAGCAGAAGATCAGTGGAAACGCTATTTAAATTGGTATATGAATCAAGATCCAGATATGGATGACACAAGCTTGAATCCATTATTGGACTGCAGATTGCCCATTACTACGCTCAATGGCATTTCTAGACGACGATCAATGTCGTTGCAACCGTTTGGTAGTGCTGGAAATCTTTCGCTTCATACAACTAATCGACATCGCTCGGGCTCATTTGGATCCATGCCACGATCAATTGCCAAGAGTTTTCGTACTTCAGCCACCTTTTCACAGGAGACAAGTTGGAAATTATACGAGTTTTCCAATAAATTACGCGTCGATACTGAACGAATAAGTTATCAGAATAGTCTGTTTACGTTTGCTCCACCACCAGCATTACGTACAAGCTTAAAGGTTCATGCATCTCCTCGTAAGGTGTTTGAGATGCTTATGAAGGTAGATAGTTCGTTCTACAAATCAAATCATGTGATTCAAGAAGCACGTGTTTTGGAAGAGCACACAAAAGATCATAGTGACGTGGTCTACTGGAAGCTTTTCCCCACGTATCTCTGGCCATTTTACGTGAGTGCTCGAGAGCTGTGTATGCTCCGTTACTGGCGCATGGAACCAGATGGTTCATACTTTATTTGTTTTCAGTCTACAACACATAGGAACTGTCCTCGTAAGACTGGAACTGTGCGTGCTAGTATCATGGGTGGTGGTTTTATTATCTCACCTCGTGTACAAGAAGACTATGATCACCATTTTGAAGAGTGTTGGGTGACACTAACAATACAAATGAATCCACACGGATGGATTGACTCCAAGCTAGCGCGTTCATGGTATTACGTTCATGCTTATGGCGTCTTTGTTTTGGAGATGATTACAGCAATCACTGCAACTGCAGGTCTCCACACTCTCCGTCCAGGTACAGTCACTTCAACCTGTCAAACAAGTCTGGATAGTCAATTAGCCTCCATAAATCAGCACAAAAGCATAGAAAAACAATATCTGATGCTCGAAAGGTATCGTACCGATCTCACAGTGCAGCATGGATTGCCAACTAAATTTTGGAGTGAGCCGAATGCTAGTAGTTTTGTTGTCCGTGGACCAAACTACTTTTCGTCTAAGAACAAGGTCCCGTCAGTACGTCAGGCATGTCGACTCGTAAGCGTGGAACTATACAAGTCAAATGAAATGATTCAACACATTGGCGTGTCTTCTTTTGTCGGAGATGGATTTGATACTATTGATGCGCCAACTTCAGCAATAGAAGATCGTCCATTTATCTTAATCATCAACTTTATGCTTCCCGGTCCACTACATCACTCGCTCGTGCTCTATTTTACACCTGAAGACCCGTCCGAAATGAAAAAGAATTCTGTCTTTGCTGATCTTTGCCATCAAGTTCTACGTGGTTCGAACGATGAATTTCGTACACAGCGTATTAAACTTATACCACGTGTGGTGCAAGGCTCGTGGCCGATTCGTGAAGGAGTGGGCACAACACCCGCTATTTTAGGTACAAAGATCTATCAGAAATATTATCAGGGCAAGAATTATCTTGAGGTGGATTACGATGTTGGTAGCAGTACAGTAGCTACAAGCGTCTTGAATCTCCTGATCGGGCATTCTCGGGACTTAATCATTGACTTGGCTTTTGTAATTGAGGCACAAAGCGTCATGGAATTACCTGAACGTGTATTATGTACTGTACGTTTAGATTGCATTGACTTGCGTCATGCTGTGCCATACGCGATGTCAAGATACCTGGCCACGAAAAATTAAAAATGTCATTGGACTTTCGCTAAAAAACTTGATAATGAAAGTCTTGCAGCAGATCATACTCGACAAGCGTTGCTGGTCAAATCTTGTTGAAAGAATCAGCTACGTAGTAAACAAAAGCATGAATTATTCTTGGACAAGCACGTGTGTACTGCGTTTGGGAATTCTCGTATGTGTTCACTTAAGTCACGTGACAGATCAAGGTTATCGACAGCAACTCTTGAGTTTTATTTTGTTTTAGCAGTATGATGACGAGACATCACAAGCTTGATAAGCCACAGCCGCGATTCTATGGAATTTATGAACGTAATATTCAGTCTCACTCACTGACGCTGTACTGAGAGGCACCTAGTATTTGGATTGCACAAAGCGTGATTTTGTGACGTGACAGAATAGATTTAGATTCGTCACCAGTAATGGACCGAGAGAAATCGATTTGATATGTTAAATTGACAGTTCAATTGAACGATACTGACGGTAGCATTGATGTCATGATGAGAAGTTGTAGTCTATAGCAATTTGATATATCAAATTAATGCACTTTCAATTTCCTTCTCTGCTATCTTACCCGAAGTCCCTCAATGTCATGCCTCTAATTTGATATTGCAGCTTTCTCATCAGTCGAAAAAATATTTAAACTTATTCACCACTTGCATTAAATTTAAGAGCCGTGTGACGTAGAGACTGAAACGTGTCAAATTGTAAAATGCCCCTAATGGTCAGTTTGGAGATTTCAATGGACGAAGTGATCAAGCTTTTGCGATTTAGATTCGATTGTAATAGCTCAATATTTCGATTCATTTAAAAAGTTTTATTACAAAGTCGATTTTGTCGTACCGACGTCGTACAACGCCGATATTGTTTTCCATAAGCTGAGATGGAAATTTGAAATCGGATCAATACGATCAATTTTGTCTTCAATTAGATTTGGCTCTGAGACTCTTCCATCATCTCTCCATGGATGTAGAGGCTTCCACTTGCTGTATACGGATACTGTCTCTTGAAATTGAGTTGATTTCATATCGCGACTTCTTGACCAAAATCAAAATCAAGTATAAATTAACTTCATCTTGACGTGGAAGACAGTGAAAGCTAAAGGTTTCAATGCTCAAGGCCTCAGCTCGTGGATCATGATACATGGTGTGACCTTTTAGTATAGCGACTAAAAGGCCACACCATGTATCATCATCAATGAGCTCATAACTTCGATTGATGGTTGTAGAAATGAAATGACAACTCTCTTATAAAACGATTTGGCGATAATGCGTTGTGTTATCACGATGTAGCCCTGAATATGATAATTGGAGAAGGTAGAGTTAGAATGCTGTTCAAGTAGTAACCTATCCAAGTCGATTTTTCGCTGGATGTCTGCACATTTGCTTCGGACACATCGAACTCGAGCGGGTCAAGATTCTTTTAAGCCTCAGAGCAAGAGTAATAGATTGTTTGATAACGGTATGTAAAGCACCAATTTCTTATGGATTTCGGATGACGCTGGGATGATCTCAGACACTGCATTTAATGGACCATGTCGCGTGACGGTAGCGATATTGCTTCCTTCGAGTGCTCTCATACAAAACTTGTTGGTGGCAAGATCTTGTAACAGAAATATCATGATAGCTACATCTCGCCATGACTGCAATTCTAGGGCTGTAGTCTGCAGCAATGCGCGAATTTAATTGGCGAAACTAACTTGATAACGCGCTTCCATGATCACCTTAACAGCCAGTGAAGAATACGCCAAGAACGCGCGACAGTGCGAAATCTCGTTGTGGGTCCAAATTGAATGAAATGTGCCTCATCTGACTATCGAATCGTTCTGGATGATGAAAACACTTGCCTATAACGAGATTGAACCTTCGAAACCAATCGTCTTTTGAATTAAATTCGCAAATGTCTCGAATTCAGCCTTAGTCCACAGATTCATGTACATCCTTAAGCCAACATTCTTGACAAAGTGCTTATAATTTCTAGTGCTTGAACTGGCGAACAGAAATATACGTTTGAAGCTCGATAGCCGCAATGCTCCACCGGCTTCATTTCCATCGAAAAATCCGTAATACTTCGCGTTAGTATATAGCCAACGCAAGCACTTGTAACTATTGATGTGCCAAGTGAGGTATATCAACTTATCACCAAGGTGTATGTTTGCTTGATCATGAATAACAGCAGCAAGAACACCCCAAACACCGACTTCCCAATCCCAGGGCTACCGATTACAGGAACTTCACTGATCGATCGATATGTTGTCAATTTTTGCTTGATTATATCATGAAGATCCCAATACTCTTGTCATATTTAAAAACCATGTGGGATTGCTGTACTGAAGACAAACGTCAGCGTATCCAATACTTTTTCAACTTTAAGGTTCTTGCCATCGTCAAGTTGTTTTACAAGTGCAACTATTTCATTCATTTGAAGAAGCTCAATTTATTCCGCTCTCCGCCTGTCATTCGGGTTAGAATGACCACTTCAATGTGAGGGACATCCGGAGTTGGAAAGAGCATTCATGAAACAGTCAAAGTCGAGCATGTTGATAGTAGAATAAAAAATCATCATGAAGATCAGCACACATAAACATACGAAGGAGTTACTGTAAGAGTTACAAATGTAATGAAGCATCATGCAGTACTTCATTAATGCTCAAATGTTGTAATCATATTTTCAATATATGGCATTGGTTCGGGAATAGCTTTTGGATCGTCGATACTTCGATCTTAGGAAGGTAGAATGAGTCTGAGCCTTATGAGCGTCTGTAGTAATCGCCGGTGATATAAACAACTTGAGTGTTAGTCGCGTTTGGCAACTGGTCAAAATTACTGCAATGAGGTCTGACCCTAGCGGCTTTCATCTATTTCGATGGTTTCCTAGCGAGTGCGGCACGCATAGAATTTTCGCGTCCACTCAGTTTTGCTTGTGATAGCGATGAACGTCACATAAAGCGTGAACTGCAGTTTTCGTGTCACGAGGGTAGAATAAGGCGATAAGAATGTAAGGTTTAGAGGGGATGCACGCCAGTCATGCTGATTTGGTAGGGAAAGATCTCTTAGCTGCTACGATATACTTCGTGATCCGCAAGTTTGTGATCCGCAAGTATTTTACTTGCGCTGGTCTGCATCCTGCTTACTCGCTTCACTAAAGGCTGGAGATACGAAGGATCAGACTCCCAAGTAAGAAAAAAAGGACGAACCCATCACGAATGCCAAGTCCCAGTGGCCTACTTGGAAATATCTCGGTGCTACTGCAACCTCATGGAGGTCGTGGTCAACGGAGTCCAGTCCTTAAAGAGGCAGTGTTTGTATAGAAAGCGAAGCTTACAGCATAGATTTGGTAGCTACCTGGATTCGCGATACGATCTCATTCTTGAAATGGCCTGGCTGGGACGCCACGAGCCTTGGGTCGACCAGAAAAGCTAGGCGTTGCGCACATCTCCTAGTCAGAATTAGTGGGCTGTGAAGCCACCGCTGAAAGAGCCCGAAACTTGATCGGTGCAACACGAAACTGGGATAGCTTTCGTGCAGGACATTTACTCGCTCGTCGTTAACAGCAATAGTTTTGCTATGTGCCGAGGTGCTTAGGTGTCTAGGTGCCTCGATCAGAGCTTAGAAGGATGAAACGGCAGTAAATCAAGTCGAAGGATGAGAAGGATAGGGCAATTGTTTATTGCGCTCTTCAAATGTGTCTTTGGAGTGACGATTAAGAACACTAATGAGCAGTTGTCCTCTGTGTCTGGACTGGTGGAGAGTGGGAGCGAATTGGTGTTATAATATTTCGTGTCGAAGCCAGTAAAGTTGACGGGCACCTATAAGCCGCGAATATAAGGGCTAAGCCCTTAAGAAATGTTTCAAAGTTGTCACTATGTGTTGGTACTTCAAAATTGGCACTACAGTGTGATGGCTCAACAGGTAAGTGGCTCGAAAGATCACCAACTGTAACTGGGGATGTTAGCCGTTAGGAACGATGATTTCTGTGTTCTGACTTCCTGAGTTCACAGTACGTGGTCTAGCCGCTCCTCATAGAAGCTGTCTGACTGCGTTAAGCCTACCCACTGCACAAGGTTTAGAATCCGTGCCGTATTCCATCGAAGGATAGCTCAAGGACATCCTGTTCTGGAAGTCAAAATGCTGTCCAGTTGTTACCAACGATATAAACCTTGTCTAATGAGTCCGGCTTACTCTTCTGCAAGCGCAAGAGTCATACCGACTCTTGCACATATCCCGCTTAATTACAGTTTTCAAACATGTAAAATTTCGATGGTCAGGAGCCGCTACAGGCTTACGCGAGTAAACTTTCCCGGTAAACCCAGAACATAGCGAAACGAGTGATCCGCTTTCCGAGCACTATTTTCACATGCAAGTCATCATTCTCCTGGAGAAACATCTGAACCTGGAGTAGCAGAGGTTGGAAATATCCATGCCCTCGTGAGCAATGCACCTTGGATACAATAGGCTTGTAAACATGTCGCCGCTGTTATTTGACTCAGTCTGTGCAATGGATGAGTTGAAGACGCTGTACCACCCGTCTTGAGGCTCTATAAGCTAGCTTTCACGGATCGATGCTCTTGAAGCATCGATTCATGCTGAATCCCTAAAAGTTCAAAGCACAACGGTGACGCAATGCAAAAACTCATCACCTCAAGCTTCTGCTTTCGATAAAATAGCTGAAATAGCTGCTTCTCTTCACCACAAGGTCGGGCACCTTCCGCTAGTAGAAGCGCGCTGCGATAGAGAGCACTGCCTTTTCTCCTAGGAGATAAAGGCCGAGGGAGTGCCAAGAAATCAAGGTAAATTTGCCGAAATAAAATTTCAAACTGCCACCAGGTACGGATATCAACCCTATATACCCTTCAACTACCAAATGAAAGTAAGTCGCCTTTTACAAATCGAGCAGTGTCGGTTGATGTTGACCCAACCGCAGCCGTAAATCATGTATACGTTAACTTTCTCCGAGAGTAATGGCATACGTCCAAGGCTGAGATGATCCAGAGTCCGTAATTGCTCTCTGAGCTTCGTCATCGCACTGCCTGGCTTACCCCTAGCCGTTCAGCACCGTGTCGCCGCGCTAGAGCAGAGGGTAGCGCAGCCTCCATTTGCAAACAGAAAACTTCATGTCGAGCGGCTCGTAAGAGCAAAACCGTGATATGGCTTTCGTAAGCCTAATAGGACACAGGGTGTGGATGTTATTGGTCCGAGATGTCCAGAGCATAATTCAATTTTTTTCATGCTATGACGGTGAGTGGTCCAATGTTTCGTGCTCGCAACTTGATCTTATAAATGTCCGACACTGCATGTGCAGGTAGATCAATTACTTTTGCCTCGCAACATATCTGTGTGTATCAGCGGCCTTTAGATGCTCGCAAGCTCTCAGCCATATTATCGCACACCCTGCATATGACGTTCAATTCGATCGTGATAGGATCATCGATTTAGATATTAAATGTAGCCTGGCTCATATTACCAATATGATTTGGATTGACCGCCCCTCCTCCACTCAGGCACAAGTGTCACAGGCACTCGGAGTTTATTTGATTACTTAAGAAAAAAGCTCTAATTCAGTAGAGGGGTGTACTGAAGTATTATACGCAAGGTCAGTGGGTGGAAGCTACATCGCTCAAGCGGTATTCCCACGCAATTCTTCCGTTGAATATCTTCCGCATCGAGTTTCACGCTTTCCGTCCAGCGTTTTGTTTAGAAAGCTAGGCCGATGACATTTTCAAATTGATGCCGAGCATCTTAAATAATGTTTGCCAACACCTTGCTTTATAGCGTTGATCTTTATTTAATGCAATAGCTGCTGGCAAGTCGTGTTGGCAAAGCATTTTTGCCAATGTACAGCTTGGCTGTATGCTAACTGCTCGTATGTTTCTAGCAGCAGCGAGATAAATCACTAGCTCAGACGATCAACAAAGACCACAATATTCGTATTATCAGGCTTGTCTTTTGGGAGACCAAAAATCCAGACTCATGGACTATCAGCACTCTGTCAAACCCGACAGGTCTGGCGCCCCATGGGGTGATTCACAAAGACCACGATACCCGTATTATCGGACTCGTCTTTTGCAAGAACAAAAAAGCCAGACTCATGGACTGCCAACATTCTATCGAAACCGACAGGCTGACCAAAGTTGGTGCCCCATTCGACCCGCTTACACGGTTCACACATGCTCATATGGGTGCTTGCCGACTTATACATGTTGGATCACCAATAGCGATCATCGCGCAAAATATCTTTTCTCGCTTGTAGTGGCCATGCCACATTCTCCTAACAGTATTACCGCGAGATATTTATCGTTAAGTAGCACTACGCGCTGTGTGCAGTGCCGTAAGACATCGAGCCTTGGAATAAGGCCTAACGGTGACGGCTTGCGACTGCGCTCTCCGATACAGCAACGTCTGATCTCGTCAACGCTTTGCATTTTTAAGCTTTCATCAATGTTACACATTTGCAAGTGAGCCGTACGCTGACGTATTTCCTTCAGCGTACGCTATCAGCTGGCGGCACTACCAACTTGAGATGTGACAATGTATACTTAGGATGATACAAGAGCACCTCCGTCGCCATGGTAATCTAATTGGTCCACAGTTTTAATATTTTGGACTTATGTATACTCAGCACAGAAGGCTGCCCAGCTTGCCGTTCTCTATGAAAGATGTTGTGATAACGTTGCTATACGGAACGACATGTGATCGTATGGATCAGAAATAGCTAAGGGCAAAGCAAGTGCATCCTGAACTTGACGAGGGCATTCTTTATTGCAAGTAACACCTTCCCATGAACAGGGCTGTTTTTCCTAGCCGTTTTTGATGAGAACCAAGTGCAACCAAGCGTGAATGATCATTGGAATATGCTCTGAGTAGGCAATACCCATCACAACCGCTGAAGCGTCACAGATGATGTGAAACGGTTGATAAGGATCTGGACAGTTTGAAATCAGAGACGTAAGAGGTTTTCTTTCACGAAATAGAGGTCCATTTTTTCGGTATTCCAACACTTTTTTACATGCGGTTATAGTAGATTGGTGAAGGGTCTTTGCCGTGCCGGCATGTACTAGACAAGATTATTGGTCAGCAAAGCGACTTCCTTACGTCCTTCGAGACAGAGGCGTTTGCTCATTTGTAATGGCTATTGCTTCGAAGGATCTGCCTGCTCCCAATAAAATCAAAAGAAACAAAATTTATTTGACGACAAAGACATACCAGACTATAATGATAAATATCGGAATTAAGGACATGCTCAAAGCTCGCCTTCCACATTTGACAGCCCGTGCTCTGCACGACTATGGACAATTATATCATCGAGATTGAATTGTGCAAGCCACGATGCGGTCTGTATCCTAAAGATCAATAGCGCAGTAGGTAGTCGCCGTGGCACAACCAGTCGCTCACAGAGCCTCCAGTATCGAGAAATTACGACAAAGAAAAGGATATTGCTTCCACCCATCAACACTTGTTAATGCCGATCAACGAGGTCAAAGGTACTGAATAAAGCGCAGTCAACCATGCTTTTACGCAACACGTCCTATAATTGTCGAAACAGTGACTGCATTTACATTAGTATAAACATGCACAATTCATCACATTTTGCTAGCTTCTCTACTATAAATCGTTGGCGTGGAGCGGTAAAACATCTGCCCCTCACCAACTTTTCGTTTTTTGCACTTAAACAACTTCGATACCGCCACACCGCTTCCTATACGAGGAGTGATACAATATCAGGTTTGGAAAACTAAGTCAACTTTATTGCGTACTTCTCTACTTGGGGGACATTAAGCCGGTTTTTACCGTTTTATCAGACATACACTCCGGAGTCCGTGATATACAATCGCCCTTTTCCTCTCTTTCTGGGACCCCGGCTCAAGGCCGGTCTGGATCTCGCGCTCTGTTCAAGACACCAAAAAGGGGATTGCACTCGGTTGGGCAGAAGCTATCACAGCTTTCTAACCGCGCTAAACGGACAAAGGTGAAATCATGAATGACCAATACACCTCTAGAGGACAGGTGCGTAGCTACTAGCTTTTCGGCATCGAGTTGGCCCTTAGATCGTGGCTTTTGAGCTATGTCATGCCTAGAATGAGATCGTATCCTGAGTCGAGGTTCAGGACTAGACGGCATTTCAAGCTGTTAAATTTCTTAAGAATCACATGAAAGTTCGCATAATCTAGGCCACTTTCCTTAGTGTCCCATCGCTGGATGCCTTTTTATCTTCAATAGCTCCGCGTACTCTCTATGGTTTTCGACATTAACGCGTCGTGTGAGACCATACGACGCATGACTGTCGAAAACAGTTCCGAGTATATCCGTGAATTTTCCAGCTACACAAAGTCTGAAAGGATGATATTTGCAACCGAAAACAGTTCCGAGTATATCCGTGAATTTTCCAGCTAAACAAAGTCTGAAACGATGATATTTGCAACCGCGATCCTTTCCTCTTTTCGAGCAAGTCGCTCATTTGTGCTGGGTCCCATTGACCACAACCTCCATAAGGTACAATAGGAACCAGTTCTTCCCCTGTATTGGGACTTCTTCTTTCCTGTAACGGGACGTCGTCCTTCGTTTCATAAGTGCCCGACCTTCGTGTTTCTCAGCCGAAAGCGAAAGGCCACCCCAGCTGCAGACGTTTGCACTACTGAGATTAAACATCTGCTGGTTCCACGCTGCTTCTCAGCGAGTTGATGATCTATTTGTTTGCTCCCAGCATGGCTGAAATCCATCGTCTTGGGCGCGCTACTAAATCCTCCATCTACAGTACCCTTGCAGCACGAAATTTGTGCGCCGCGCTTAATTTAATGTACACATATTCACCGAGAGATGTTGGATGAGAGCAGAATGTGTCGGAGCCAGCACACTCGTCCGGCAACCCTCCATAATATTCGTAACCGTTACCGGCTTCCGGAGAGGGTCAGACGCCAACTCGACTACAAAAGCTCCCAACTTTTGACATCGTTCTTTGTGTCTTGTCTATCGCTCGAGTAAAGGTCTCTTTTGTCCGGAAGTGCCCATTCACGCGTGTTGAAAGTGTTGCTTTTGTTTGGAGAAAAGACGAACCATAGCTATTTCAACCTTTCTTATCAGAGAAAAGTTTTCTTCGCTTCTGCCTTCAAAGGCCTTAACACTCAGCGGCTTCACGGTGAACACCATATGCTCCTCCAACCGCGCCCGGATATTATTCCTTGACCTGCCTCACAAGCTCATTATTAAGGCTAGTGAGCGCCTCCAAGTGAGCGATTACCGCTTCTCATACCATTATCCCATCGGAATCCGAGACTTACAAAGATTGTCAATTCCAGGCATTCGAACATTTCATGTCCCATTTTCGCGGATAAGAAGTCTTTCCATGATTCCGTTTTGGGAGTGTAAACAAGTGCACTTACACGAAGGAAACTTAGATCCTGTTTCCCACAGTAAAATGCAAACAGATGTACAGAGGGTTCATGCATTTCTACAAGTTGCGAACTCGAAGAATTTCTATGAAAGCATTAAATAAGGGAGTGGCAGGGTTGACAAGCAGTACAAATGAAACGGAAATCGTCACGCGTTGGTGCCGGTGCTAAATTGATAAATGGGCCTTCCAGCATGCAGCACAAGATGCAGGACATTTGTTACTGCAGTTTGCTCTGCTATTTCATGAGTATACATATTTATAATTAATTTTGATTTGACTAGTATTGCATATACTACTTTTTATGTGATTTTCCGTTCTTTTGGGATCTCTCTGTAAATTTCATTACTATCGAGATCCAGTGCTTCTAAAATATTTACAATAATACCAAGTGTAATGTGAGTTTCCTAAAATGGACCTGAATAAGGCCAAAAGTGTAAATTACACAAGATTAAAGTACACGTGATGAAAGGATCAATTGGAAAAAATATCAATGTATTAATGTATATAAATGCATATAAATGTACTTAAACTCCGACTATTTCTTCTGGTGGTTAACGTAGCGCAGCGCCCACAACGCTAGCAGACGAAATACTATGATGAATGCAAATACGATCCCAAAATTTTTCCAAATCTCACTGTGCTTCATCAGAAAGATCTCTTCAACATACTCTTTCACCGTCAGGTTGTCACGAAGGGAAGGTGGCGTGTCCGTCATGACTTGACAACCAATCTCGGAGCCATCTCCATCACTTGGGCAATCTCCAAAGACTAAAGACGTTGCTAATGCCAATGCATATTTGTGCGGTGTAATGTGGTAAAGCCATTTGTATCCTGTTGGAATTGAATCTCCAGGAGGGTTAAAACCAGTGAAGAGAAAGAAAATCATCTGAAGCAGCACACCGAAGATCGTCGCAACTTCGACAGTCGGCATAAAATACGACATGAACTGTCCGAAGTAAGCTTGAAACAGCACAAACATTGACAAGTGAACCCAATAGGCGAAAAATGTGGCTACACCCGTGAAACCAACCATCGGGAAGTAAGGAATCATGAAAAGTATTGTTCCAAAAAAGACATACGGGATCTCCACCACAGTGGCTCCGACAAAATACCACAGTGCATTATACGTTTGGGATGCGCGCTCACGGTAAAAAGCAAGACGATCTTCTGACGCAACGGGCGTGACGCTACTGAAAGCGATGAATCCAAGAAATGCAGTTGTGCTGAAGAGCATACCCATGCCTGAATTAACGCCGGCGTACGATACGTATTCTGCACTGACATACGTAATGCCAAACACAATTCCAAGGATAATATAGAGACTGAAACGCGTCAAATTGTAAGATGCCGTGCGCCAATACATTCGAAAGAAGCGCTCGAGCAAAAACCTCGCCTGGGTCATCTCAGTCGCAGCGCGCTTATCGCTAAAGCTCAGTTCGGGGTACAAAGGAGACGGACTGATCACGCCTTCGCGATTTAGATTCGATTGCAATATCTCAAAGTTTCGACTCATCTGGAAAACTTTGACAAAGTCGGTTTTGTCACCGTTGCTGTTGCCAACACCGGCGCCAACCACTTCTAGCATCCAAGTTGCAGGATTGTAATTGTCTTCAAGTTTCGCCACACCATCGATTGACTCAAAGTATGCGATCATTGCGCTTGCATTCTTGCCTAGCTCGCCCGAAAAAACCGTCTGACCACCACGCTTAAGCAATAAAAGACAGTCGAAAATGCTAAACACTTCTGTCGATGGCTGATGGATCGTGCAGATGACCGTGCGGCCTGTATTCGCCACTTTGCGAACTCCGTCCATAATGAGTTTTGCAGAGCGAGCGTCAAGGCCACTGGTAGGCTCATCCAAGAACAAAACACTCGGTTGAGCTGCCAACTCTACACCAATAGTCAATCGCTTCATCTGCTCCACGGAGCTTCCACGAATGATCTGGTCAGCAATAGGATGCAAATCCAGAAGGTCAAGACATTCGTTCACTGAATCGTGCTTGTTACTATCCGGTACATCGGCCCCTTGGCGCAAAAATGCACTAAACGTGAGAGCCTCGCGAATTGTGGCCGATTCGGAATGGATATCCATCTGCTCGCAGTATCCAGTGGATCGACGGATGGCGAGGTCGGAAGCGGGATAACCATTGAGTAAGATTTGGCCCTTTATCTTTCCTCCGGTTTTTCGACCGGCGATAACATCCATAAGTGTAGTCTTGCCAGCACCTGAAGATCCCATCAGTGCAGTGATGGTACCAGGAAGAGCATATCCACTGATGCCTTTAAGTAAATCTATGGTTTCTTTAGGATTGGTCGGGTCAGGAACAGAATACCACAAATCCTTGAATGCAAGCGTAACTGGAATAAAGTGCTTTTCTCTGTCGGGACTCACTGAGACCACAGCATCGCTTCCATTCTGTGAGGCACGTGGCGTACGAACGAGTCCATAGCTGTCCGAAGTCTCTCCATTATTTTCAGAATCAAGTGTCACATTTTCTGGGCTTTCAAAGCGGTGGTACTCCAAAGCAATGAACGACATGAACATAAAGGATATGTATGATGCCCCCATGAAAACCATGCCGTACCACAGCCAGAATTTGTCTGTTGGCACCTCGAACGTCGACAGAGAGTAATCTCCCATTGTCATGTTGTAGTCAGTGCAATAGTCAACACCATCGTATACACACGTGTCAAAGCTCGAGTCTGTGTACTGATTCACCGCTAAGGCTCGGATTCCCCACGCCATGGGATTTATCCAGTAAATCCAAATGAGATAATCAGGAATTTGATCTTTGGTAATAACGAATCCAGCGAAGAGGATAAAGAAAAGGATCGAAACCATTGAAATCGGGTTGGCAATGTTCAAGTTTGGTGAGGCACACGACAAAAAGAAAAACCATGCGGACATGGCGAGATTTGTCAGAAATAGCATCACCTCGAACAGAAGAAAAGCTTTTGCAGTGGAAACGTATCCACACATCCAATACAAAATGGTTCCAAAGACCAGGCACTCAGCAAAGCCCAATGGAATTTGACTCACGGAATTTGAAAGAACAAACGATGAGGTACGGAAAAAGTTGGATCGGCGTTGCTTGTAAAAGACCTCACGTGCTGCGATGAAAACTGGAATTTGTGCCTGCTGTCCCAGCGACACAAACAGAACAGCATTAAAAATGAGACCCATTACTAACTGAGCTTCGGTCTCATTGAATTGGTAAAATACGCTCGCGTACAATAAGCCCATCAATATCACCATGACGGAGCGGCCAGCAAGAAATGCCGTGTCGCGCATTGTGAGTGTAATCTGACGTCGCACAACGCCAATAGTACTTTCCAAAAAGTCTTGATGGAACTCGGGAATTGGATCAATATGCTTAATCTTGTCTTCAATCAAATTTGGTGGTACTGGACTATGAAGTTCTTCCATCATTTGTCCGTAGATGTGTGAACGAGTAAAGGCATCCGCGTATTGACTCGGTTTATGCGGGATGTTGTTCATTGGAATTGAATTGACTTCGTACTGCCCCTGCTTATCGGTGCCCAGATCCAATAGGAAATCGGCAACATCACGACGTGGAGGACACTTGAAGCCAAGGTTTTCAAAGTACGTCAAGGCCTCCGCTCGAGGACCATGGTACATGATGTAGCCATCATTCAGAATAACAATGTCATCAAAAAGCTCAAAAACCTCGGGTGATGGTTGCAATAATGAGATGACAATGGTCTTGCGAAACTTTTTGGCAATACTACGTTGTGTCGAAATAATGTCAAAGGTAGCAGCGCTATCAAGCCCCGTGCTAATCTCATCCATCATCATGACACACCTATTACCAAACTCCATTTCGCCAGTAGTCACACGCTTCCGCTCTCCTCCGGACACACCACGGATCATAGCATCACCGACAATTGTATTCTGGCAATTTTCAAGTCCCAGCTGTTGGATAACAATATCCGGGTAATGCTTGAACATGGCCCTGGCAGCGTCCAGTGCAGCTTGATTTTCTTCTGGTGTACCATTGACATAGTGCTGAGCATCGCGTTCTGAGAAACCTCCACCACAACAAGCGTGTGCGAATTCTAGTGTCTCTTTGACTGTCAGTGACGGATAATGTTTGTCTCTCTGAGTGACATACGAGACGAATTGTGGCAAACGTCGAAGCAATTCATTGGCTGGTGTGCCGTTGTACGTCACTTCACCTTGTATAGTGACGTTTTTTTGGGTAGGAAATCTACCACTTAGCAGCTTCATAAGCGATGATTTACCAGATCCAGGCTGACCAAGCACGAGTGTAATGGTGCCTGGTTTGAAGACACCACTGACGTTTTTGAGGATCTGTTTCTTGACTGTGTGTTTCGTGGCGGCTAGACCTCGTATACTTCTCATGAGCTCATTCGCAAGCGTGGGCAGCTCGACTTTAAGGTTTGTTTCATCTTTGACAGTAATATCGGCCGAGATGGAGACATCCTTATACCGTACTTCCATTTGAGGAAGTGCTCGACCTAATGCCTTTTCCATGCGAGAAGCAACGTGTTCATGCAATGCTTGTGGTCCTTGTGTCATTAACGTCTTACCATTTTTGTATTCAATGGTGGCTCTCATCGGTGCTTCCGGATTGGGATTGTCGTGGTTCATAGATTCCATTTGAGTGATGATACCGTGTCGGTTGTCTTTGGCAAGCAAATTTAAAAGTGCGAATGTCTTTTATAGGGTGGAAGGTAAGAATGATGTGAGGCAGGACATGATTGCTACTGAAGATCGCAAAGTAATACGAGATTGATTACGCAGACTAATGTACCGGTATGCACGATATGAGGGATTAGCCCGATGATGATGTAACCTCGATTAAATACGGTTTCTAGGTATTATAGAGATCAAGTTTTGTTTCAGGAAAGTGTATATGTCGTATGTTGAAATGGAAGGTCATCATGAAGTCGTGAGGGAAATATTATCGATACTGCAAATAATGCAGTTGCCATCTGTTGGGGTAACCCGAATACCAGTAGATCAATGTTGATGCAACTTTCCTTAGATACGATCTGAAGATAAATTTAGAGCATGGAAGACTTGTCTACTGCGAGAAGTAATGCGGAAAGGGAATGTTGATGGAGTTTCTATTAGGTACGATCTGGTCATTTAATTGTCGAGTCCAACTTAACGAAAAGCTCAAATTTACTCTTCAGGTCGTCTATACAAAAACAATATGCATCTAGAGTAGTATTTAATTAGGTCATCAAATACTAATTACAGTTCCGTCGATCGGGTAAACAGTTGGCGACACGAACCCATTTGATTGCGCCTTGTGTTGTTCCTACCCATGTATTGCATAGTGTATTCTAGAAAAAATGATTTGTCACATGGAAAATGGATAATTGAGGCTATAGTACAGAAAATTTACCTTACGAAGCTCCTTTTATAACATGCACTCATCAATGGAGAGCAGCCAGCCAAATAAATTTTTGAATGCTCTCACAAAAAAGTGCCCAGCTATACTTCAGGCACTCGTTTTCGGCGTCACCAATGATGTCAAGCAGTCACTAGGCCATGATTAAACATAAGCTCAGTACTTATGTGGGTTTCTTAGAGCTGGACCCCAAAGCCATTGATGCCGAAGCTATACGAGTGTCAAAATTTGTTAACTGATCATAGGTGAGCAATTTAAAATTGATTGGTCAAGCGGAAACCTCACAGTACACCTTTACATAAAAATATTCTGGTGGACACATTACACTTGTAACGGGGCAAGTATGCCACATTAGAACTAGCGATCTTTCGATACAAAGTAGGTATGTAAATTATTTTGTAAACATATCTGGGCGATAAGCTCGTTTTATGAGTGTTTGTGGGTGTGGATGCAGCGGGGCTGCCGTAGCTTTGCGCTTTGAGGAAGCGTAACTTAGGTCACCGACCTTTCGTTCTATAATTGAAACAAGTACGAGTCTAGCGGATCGCGATCCGCTTACTCCAAGAGTAATTATGCCTTAACCCAAGGCTGATTAATTCTTCCGTCTAAAATCCAAAACTGATTTTGTTCATTTTATCTGCGGTAAAGTCGCCAAATTTTAAACGTACAGATTTTCCTAAATATATATATAGTAAAATCTAAATACATGCATAACTACTGGCTACCCAGCCACATACTGTATTCCTAATAGGGCGCAGTCACACCATGCCTATCTCGTGTGACACGCACCCCTGTCACCAGGGTACATGTAATCCCGTTACACTCTCCCCCATTGAAATTGCGTGTCTGCTAGACAATGCAACTTAGTTCGTTGGAACAAAACGACTTCCGTGCTCAATGAGCCCTGTGTCAACGACACTGAAG